AAATATGGAAGACTCAGTGTCATGCTAGAAACCACACTACACAGGTATAGTTTTGCATGCTCTCTTGAGGAAAGAAAACTGATTTAGCTAGAAGAATCTCAAAAAATTTAAGAGAAAAGGTTCCACTATTCATTTATACACTTAATGAAAATTCAATCGGATTTGGGCTCAAGGTACTGGGATCTTTGCAAAAAGCTTTTGGCCTCTAGGACTAAGTATCTCTCACTCAGTTTTGGGAGACCTAATGATAAAGTGTTCATAAATATTCTGATTCTACTTCCAAATACCATGTGGAGCCAATTGAAATTTATATTCTGAATTTTCATATACTGGATGAAGGTGATGCATAATTATACTCTTCCTGTCACTCAGCTGAACAGGGCATGACTATTGATGTGTGGCTGCTTTCTGCATTCAGTTGACAGAGCAAGTGGGTCCTCTGAACATTATTTTCTTTTCTTTTTTTTTTTGTCTTTTTCATTTTTATCGGTACCGGGGATCGAACTCACGACCGCCTGCTTGCAAGGCAGGTGCTTATGCCGCTGAGCTAAACCCCCAGCCCCTGAACATTATTTTCTATTTCTTGCTTTTCTTCTACTTGTTGGACTGTGTGTATCCATATGTGAAGGAAGCAGAAGAAATCTTTATCCCTACATTCAACAGGAAAGAATTTCTAGGGAATGCATTCTCTGCTTCATTATAGCATTTTTGTAACATTATCTTCTGAGATTTAATTATCTGTCCTAGGATCAAAAGACTGTGCTTATCATAGGTCTTTGGGATTGATAATTTGCCCTTTAGTTGTGTAGATGGATTAATGCAGTTGATTAAACTTTATTAGTAAAAATTACCTTAACTGTTGGTTGGAAAATGGAGGAATAAATGAATTTTAAACTAATAGAAAAAATAGAGGAATAGGCACTGACTTTTTTTTTTTTTTTTTTTTTGTCTTTTTCAATTTTATCGGTACCGGGGATCGAACTCACAACCGCCTGCTTGCAAGGCAGGTGCTTATGCCGCTGAGCTAAATCCCCAGCCCTGGTACTGACATTTTTTAAAGATGTAAATATTACCTAAGCGTATTAAAGAATCTAATTAGAGAATATTTTATGCCATTGTCTTATACCCTACTATTCTGAAGAAATGATACACAATGTATTAACTACTGCTTCTCATATTATTTTGTTATGAAATTTTTATTTTTTCATAAAATAAAAAATTACTTTAAAACCCCAAATGTGTAGTACAACAGTCAAACTGACAAGCGTTATGAATTTGATTTTTCCAGACATATTTTTCCAAGTTCTCATTGATTTTCAGTTTTTTCGTTAAGAACACATAGAGAATTTTCCTAAGTTTGGCATCCTGCCTCCAATAAGCATACCTCACCCTCCATCCTCTACTTTATCTTCATAAACCGATAATGTATTTTTAAGAGAATGTTATCATTGAAGCATTTTATTTTCTATTGAAAACACTATTCTAAATTTTTGTTATTTAAAAAAAAATTACCCCTTATACCCACAGCTATACAACTACATATAACAAATACACTTAACTGCTGCCATGCTGTCTTCTGATCTTTAGGGGGAAAAACCCAGAATGTTACAGACAAAGCTAAGACTCTAACCCACCCCTCCTCTTTCTTCTTTCTTCTCTAAAGTTGCTCATTCTCATGAAGTTTTGTTGTTTGTTTTTATGTTGCACTGAGCTATATCCTCAGTCCTCTTTTAGTTTTTATTATGAGACAGGGTTTTCCAAGTCACTAAACTGCCCAGGAGGGGTTTAACTTAACAATTATCCCCCCTCAGTCTTCTAGAATACTTGGATTATAAGTTTGCATCATCATATCCATCTCATGAAGCTTTTATATATTTTTATACTTACAGTACATATTCTATACGGTATTATTCAACATTTTAATGGATGTAATATTATACTGCAAGGATAATTTTACATATTTCAACTTAAAAGTAATAATTAAATATCTGTCCACATAGACATGTGTGGCATAAAGTAGTTTTTACTGATTCATAGGATCATATGACTAACAGCTGTTAATCCATTCCTTGATGATGGGGCAATGTTTTCAATGATTCTGTCTTCCAACAAAGCTGGAAATAACAATGTAGTCCACTTCCTTGTGAAGAAGAGTGAAAAACAATTTTAAGGTACATATGGAGAAAATTCTCACATCAAAGAATACAAACCTTCAACTTTATAAGGTATATTCAAAGGAGAATAAATTTAAATATCTAACAGCAATTTATCAGAATTTCTCTTCTCATGCTTGTGCATGACAGTCTACTTTGCTGTTTTAATTTGCATGTCTCTTACCACTTAATATCAAACCCTTTAAAATGTTTATTGTGAATTTTAAAAAGATTTAATTCATAATAGCTAAGTTCTGAAATTGACCTATATGTCTATCAACAGATGAAAGGATAATGTCGTATATTTACTTTTTATTGAGCAGTAAAAAGGATGAATTTGAGTGGCTTGTGGGAAGGTGAATGGGTTTTGAGATCATAATGTTGAGTGAAATAGATCAGACACTGAAGTTAAATATTGCATAGTTTCTCTCATAAAAGAAACTAAATTATGAACAAATTTAAGGGTAAAATGATGGCAGATGTTTTGGAGTAGGAAGAGGGGGTGAAGGGAAGGTGGAATTGGGAAGAGAGGAAGGGAGGCATGGAGGGAAAGGAATAAAAAATGGTTAACATTTGTTCTATAGATGTTCTCCCAAAATGAAATGCAATTGCATAGCAATAAAAATATTTTAAAATGTTGAAATATGTGTTTATGACCATTTTGTTTTAACTTTCTGTGAATTTCCAATTCACATTATTTGCCAGTTTTTGATTGAGTTTTTTGTCTTTACTGAGTTCTAGTAATTTATATGTATTTTGAATATAAATCTTCTGATGACTACACGTTGTCCCATTTGTAATCTGTCTCTTAAATTTATGGCTTTATTATTGTGGTAGTGATCCAAATAAGCCAAATTTATGAGAATTTTTCTTTGATATTCCATTTTAAGTATCTTAATAAAGAAATGTGTTGTAATATTAATATAATAAATATAAATTCTGAAATTTTGCTTCCACATGTCATTTTTTAAGTCACCAGGTATTTTTAATGTATGGTCTGAGGAAGGTAATGCAATATTTCCCTTTTTCTGTTGGACTTGCCAACCACCCTAGCACAATTCTTCGAACAGTCCATCCTTTTTTTACCCCCACTGACTTCTGTTTTCATTATAAACCTATTTCTAGCCTCTGTCTTTTCCTGCACTGCTTTACTGATTTGTCCTTGTAAAAATAAATTATTTATTATAATTACTATTGCTTTACAGTAAGCATTGATATGGTAAACGCCTAACTTCTTTTAAAAAAATATAGAGATATTTTTGTATTGATTTGGGGTATATTTGTATTTCAATCCCTTATTATTTTAGATGCACTGAAAAACTTTAGAATTCCTTCTAAATTTTTTGACTTTTAGAGTATACTTTTTGAAATTTGATATTTGTGGCAATTAAATAAATATTAGGGTTGAATGAGGTTCCTGAACTAGACCTGATGTAAGCTTTTTATTGAAACTGTCACAATGAGTTTAATCAGATATGGCATCTTCTATTTTACCAACAAATTTATATTGCATATGCATTAAGTGTCTATGACACATTCTAAATCTACAACCAATAAATATATTAGAAATGATAATTGGAATGAGTGAACAATCAAGGGATACAGTTAAACAGGGCATTACACACAAAGTTATGAGAAGCATTAGTATTTCTGATGACAAAAATTACTTTGCTTTTGGAGAACAAACTTTGGATTCAAAAGACTATTAAATCAGTTACTCTATATAAGTTAATCTATATAAGGAAGACATTCAGTGAGCATTAACTTTTAATGTTATTACTTAGATGCTGAGAAAGAAAATGGCTGTGTATTTTAAACCTATATTGCTTATCTGCCATATTTGCAACAAAATATGTGGCATCCATGTTTGTAGGAGCACGATTTGTAATAGCTAAATCTTGGAAACAACTTAAGTGCCCATCAACTGAGGATGTGATCTTTTTATATAATGGAGTACTGCTCAGCTATAAAGAAAGATAAACGAGACTTTTATAGTGAATGGATGCAACTTGAGACCATATTTATAAGTGAAATAAATCAGACTTGCATGTGTAAACACCATGTTTTCTGCCTGATTTGAGAAGCTGAACAGTAAACAAGTTCTAAAATGTACAATGCATATTGTGAAATGAGAAGAAATTGTTCAAAAGGAACAAGGAACTAGGATGACGAATGAAGAAAGGACAGTAGGGAAAAGGGAAAAATGCAAATCAGTTACACTATTAGCTGCTCTTTGCTCATTAAAAAGGGAGGTTTGTGCTAATATCCATTGGAGAAACTTTTATGCCCATATTTTGTACCCCGCATAACTACTTTAAAGATAACAACTTTGTTACGTTTGTGTTTAGATGTGCCCCCAAAACCCCATTTGGTCTCAGAGGGCAGGTCTTTCAAAGGCAGCTGGGTCTAGCATTTGTGATTGATTCATTGTCTAGCACTGGGATTGGTGGTGTGAGAAGGAGACCTACTTCTCCCATTTGTATGTTTGCTTTTGTCACCCTTGGTACTGCTGCCACCATGAATATCTGCCCCTATGCCATGCCATCCTGCCTTGGAGTCAGCTGAGTACAGACTGAAACTTCCACAAACTGTGAGCTAAATAAACCTTTCCTTACTTCATTTTGGGTGTCAGGTATTACCAAGAAATCATGTAATTTATTAACTATTCATATTCTCCTATATTTTGTTATCAAGTTTCATTTTACCTTTTTTACATAAAATAAAATTAAATTAAATTTAAAAAATCAAAATATGTGGCAAATATAAGAAAGTATGGGAGAAGGCATCCCGTAAGACATCCTTTCTTATTCCAAGATATCCCACTTTTCCCCTTCATGCAGCTGATAAATGAGTATGAGGCCTGAGAACCTGAGCGGCATGTCTGAGTTCCTCCTCCTGGGGCTCCCCATCCGGCCAGAGCAGCAGGCTGCATTCTTCACCCTGTTCCTTGTCATGTACCTGACCACAGTGCTGGGGAACCTACTCATCATCCTGCTCATCAGGCTGGACTCCCGCCTCCACACCCCCATGTACTTCTTCCTCGGCCACTTGGCCTTCACGGATGTCTCTTTCTCATCTGTCACTGTTCCAAAAATGCTGATGAACATGTGGACCCAGGACCTGTCCATCACCTATGAGGAATGCATTTCACAAGCATATTTTTTCATATTCTTTGCTGACTTGGACAGTTTTCTTATCACTTCAATGGCCTATGACAGATATGTGGCCATCTGTCACCCTCTACATTATACCACCATTATGAGGCAGAGCCTTCGTGTCAAGCTGGTAGCCATGTCTTGGGTCATTGCTTGTGCTTGTGCTCTTTTACACACTCTCCTCCTGGGTCGGCTTTCCTTCTGTGTTAAAAATATTGTCCCTCACTTCTTCTGTGACCTTGGTGCCCTGCTCAGGTTGTCCTGCTCAGACACCTCCCTCAACCAATTGGTGATCTTTACTGCAGGTGTGACAGCCATTATGCTTCCATTCCTGTATATTCTATTTTCTTATGGTCGTATTGGGGTCACGGTCCTCCAGGTTCCCTCCAAAAAGAGCATCTGCAAAGCCTTATCCACGTGTGGATCCCATCTCTCAGTGGTGATTCTCTATTATGGAGCAATTATTGGTCTCTACTTTCTTCCTCCCTCCATCAGCAACAAAGACAATGAGATCATTGCTTCAGTGCTGTACACTGTGATCATTCCCATGTTGAATCCCTTCATTTATAGCCTGAGAAATAAAGACATGAAAGGGGCCTTCGGAAAACTATTGAATAAAGTATCTTGTTCTTCCAAATGATATTTTTTTAATCTCTACAACATCTATGTGATCTTATTTCCTCAATAATATAAATATAAATTATTTTAAAATAAGTAACAGCTGTCATTTGAAATGTATTGCTGGCAATTTTCTGCCTTTGTTAGGGGAGTTAATGAAATATAAAATGTTTTATAATGGCTTCATTTGATCTGTTTTTCAATATTGATATTGGAAAATATTTTGACTGTTATAGTTTTTTATTGGAACACATTTGTCATATACAATGATCACATTTATTATACGGAATTTGTAATTGTACTTAATATATCTTAATTCCTCTCTTTTTCATTCCCCTCCCCCCTCCAATCCTTCTTCCTCTATTTATAAAAACTTTGCTTCTATTTTTTCGCATTCTTTTTTAAAATCCCTTTTCCCTTTCTTCCCTTTCCCTTCCTCCTCCCTTGTTCCCCTTACTATCTGAACATCATCTTCCTACTTCCCAATATTCACTTTCCAATTTGCTTTTTATTTACCTGTTGAGTTTCTCACACATGAGAAACAAGGGAATATTTAAATTTGTGTGTGAGATTTATTTCACTTACATTACAGTCTTGAGGTGCATTCATTTGCCAAATGTCTCTTGTTTACCTTTCTTTATGGCACAGTAGTACTCTATTGTATTTACTCCATTTTCTTTATCCATTCATCGATTGATGGGCATGTGGGCTATTTCCAAGATTTAGCCATTATAAATTGTGCTATTATATTGTAAGTATAGGTATGTATCGCTGTCAGCTAATTTGGAAGTTATTATTATATTATGACATCAGGGATAGTTTTACAAATTTTAAATTTGTTATAAAATATGTCTGGTCTTTCATACTTCCATATCTAAAAAAAACTTACATTTTTATAAAGATATAGCTCCTCTTTCACTGAGAAACCAAGACATTTAGCAACAGAAAAAACCTTTTAGAATTTTCAAAAGTAACATATGAAATTATATTTTACATACATAAAAATACACTGCCTTTTTGTCCTTCAGAATTGCAGTTCACACTTTCTTTATCCCAAAATACATGCAGATAGCAATGACAAAATCAAAGCAACCTCAGTTACTTGTCTAAGAGCTATTTTTATTATGAGAACAATTTTAATAATTAGTTTGGGAAAACTTGAGCTCAAAGAGTTGAAAAACAGTTCCAAATTGTAGTTAGTGAAAAAGACATGAATCTTGGCTGTTTACCTCAAGGACAACTTATTGTAGTAAGAACTGTAGTCCCTTACGTGGAGCACTATGTTAAGTCCAAGGAGGAATGATTAACACAGCTTGGCGGAAGAAGACATGAAAGAATTCTCCAAGAGGTGTGACTTTATCTGAGGCTTAGAATTATGCCACTACACAAAGTTCTGTATTGTCCTGATGATCAGGAAGAGACACCATCATGTGTCAGGATGGTATATTGGAAATTTTAACTGAGACACGAAGATTTAGTAGACACGAAATGAAATAACACTAGAATGAGTTTTAACATTCGAAGTGAAGATGCTTATAGAAAATGCCATGTAATTAGCATTATAACTCTTAAGCATTGCAAGCTAATGTGGATTAAAAACATGTGAGTTGGAGATAAGAGAGGGTCTTGTAAGTATATTTCCTTTGAGCAAAGCTTTCAGTGAGCTCTAAATCCTCCCAATGGGAAGGGAGGTACTTCTCCCCTCACTTCAAGCTTAACAGGAGAACTTGAATATGAAGATCATCAAAAACATTTGCTATATGTCCTCTGCTTTTATGAAAGCAAGAGCAGTAATGGAGAAGAAAGGAAAGAGGGGTGGTGGAGAATACGATGGAGTAGTGTTTGGATCCAGTTTCACTTCTTTTCATAGCAGGCAATAAAATGAAGTAAAAATATTTCCTAAAGACCCAAGTGGGGTATGTGATGTGATGTGTGTGTGTGACAGAGAGAGAGAGAGAGAGAGAGAGAGAGAGAGAGGATGGTGTGAAGCCATGGAATATTTTCAAGGTCTTTTAGAAAGCCAAAGGAATTTGAGAGACACAATAAGATAACTATATGGAATGCAGCACCACAAAACCAGGGCTATAAGGGAAACATCCACTATAAAAAAATGTTTTACTTGAGCCATAGAGGCTTGGAATAAGTCAGTCTGGAGGTTTCTATTCATGACCTGGAGTGGCACAGAAGATTCAGTTTCGACCATCATCCAATGCAAGAGAAGCACATTCTACGTCTGAGTCCTAATTCTTCCTCCCCATGCTCCATCAAAGGAGTGTGGGCTCAGTATGTAAAAGTAGACTTCAGAGAAATGGGTGAATGAGTATAACATTCCATTGTGATTGTCTTCTGAACCTCTCGTACTTGTCCATGGATAAATCCAAATGGGAGAGTGGGTAATTTGTAGACAGAATCAGGTATCGAGTAAAGTAGATTAGATTATTGTTTTAAAACACATTTCTTTCTTCTCACTTCTCAAATTATTTTTGAAATTATTTTTAGTTAATGTTTGCAACATAATAATTACATTTCTTTTGGGGAATTGGTACCTATATATCTTAGTCACTTTCACTCTCCTTTCTTCCTCTTCCCATCTCCACTAAGTCCGTGTCCAATCATTTATTTTATTTTGCTCTTTACAATTTGAGTTTCTTATTTAGGGAAATCACATGATATTTGAATTTTATATTTAATTTATTTCATTTAACATTTTAATCTCAAGATTCATCCATTTTCCTACACACAACTCAAAATTTTCCTGCTTTATTAGCCAAGCGGTACTCCTTCCTATGTATACACCATACATTCTTTATCCTTGTGTCTGTTGATCAGCATACAGATTATGCTGCTACCAATGTGGGTATGCATGCATCATATGTATCATTTTGACTTTCTTTGGGAGTCAGGAGTCAGGAGTCAGGAGTTTTCATTAAGGTGGAAAAAGATATAAATAGGTCAAATGAAATTTCTATTTTTAAAAATCATTGCACTGATTTCCATAGGGGTTGTATTAGTATTCCCACCAACAATGTAGTTTTTTTATTCCTGTTATGATAGAAATTTAAAATTTTTGAAACAAATTATTAACTTGGTATACTGTTGGGGCTAGATATGCTCATCCTGACCACCATATAGCTTAGACTGCTAAACTCAGTCAGCCTTGACTGTCTGTGTCCAATTTCTTTTCACAGACAACCTAGCCCACTCAGCCTGACCATGACCAGATGCAATATCTGTGTCTTTCCAACTACAAATATATCCAATTTTTCTAACATATCTTAAGGACTTTCTACCCAGAAATAGATGATGACTAACTCAACCCAATGAAAGTTAACCAAAGACTCAAGACTTTTGAACTTCCCACTTGCAAACATATACAAAACTAAGCCAAAAATCTGACTTAGGGCTGGTGATTGGAACTGATTCTCACGAGCCTGCGTGCATAATCAGTGTATGTCAAGGTTTGCAACACTGTGATTGTTGATTTTAAATATTCTGTCTTTAACCTCACTGATTCTTCAGCTTAACAGATGCTTCCTGTGGCATACATATGCCCCTTTCTCTCAGGTCCACTGTTAGAGATTTGCTAGTTACTTTCAGAGGCGCCCTAATTTAGTGAGTATTAATAATCCTGGGATCCTTGTGTTTATGGCTGTGTTTTCAAGGAGACTACTACCTCTTGTATGACTCTGAAGGCCAGGTGGTCCTAACCCTTGAGAGGCAGAGCTACTTTGGCCAGGTGGTCCTAACCCTTGAGAGGCAGAGCTACTTTGTGCTACTTTGGGGTACTTTTTGGCAGGCTGGCCCACTTCTTTTGTTTGGATCAGATGGCTGGGCTCGGATATCTGGTGGGACCAATGACCAATGAAATCAGGTTGATTTGCTAAACTGGCACTGTAATTGTGCCTGACAAGAATCACAGGGCATAGTCACTGGCCAATTGGTACTTCTGTTTGAGTTCAGAAACTTGTCAGAGTTGTAAAGGAGGCCCTAAGGTAAAGTATAATTACTAGGATAGATGGATCCAGCTGATCTGTAGAGTGCAAATGCATAGTTGAAATGTTCCCTTCTGCCTACATGGGACTTTGGAGTGACTTTGAGGCCAGGTTGAACATTGTTTAATTCCCCAGACATGGATAATTAGATTTTACTCTTTGTTTAAATAGATTGTGGCAGTTGTCTTTCTTCTTGGGCAGACTCCAAGAGTGGTTGTGTCTGTTTGAATTCCATGGGTGGGTATATTTAAACTTCGCTGTTTGTTAGAATTCTCAGTGGCAGTAATCTCTTTCCCTGGGCAGAGCTCTGAATAGGCCTGAGGCTGGTGCTCGTGCCGGTTGTTTAGTAATTCACGCCAGGTACAGCTTCAGGTCAGCTTTTGGTATAGATTAGCTATTAGTGCTGTGATCAGGTATCACTGCTGGCAGCTACTAACAAAATCTACGTGCTAGTTCCTGTGAGCGCTGCCTCTTTGCTTTCTTTCTACCTTCTGCCTGTGATCTAGCTATGTCTTTTTCTCCTATGTTACCTGTGGGGAGTGATTACAATGAGTATTCCGAAAAGTGCTAAGGCCAGGGAATTTTGTTTTGTTTTCCCACTATAGAAACTACTGAGCTTGGGGAAGTCTTTCCCTGTGGTACTATGTCAATTTGAAGGAGGTGAAGGAGCAAAATAGTAAAAATGAAACTATTTTGCTTATCCTTCAAGTGCGGTCTTTATTCAGCTTGATCAGTCATGGTGTGACTCAGGAGTACTCCCAAGTTTTTGGGGTTTTCACTAGATATTCTTGTTTCACTTAAGGAGTTAATTGATAAAATGGATACAAATGTTTTAAAAATTTGAGTGATTTACAGGGCTTAGGATTTGATCTCACACATATGACAGTTTGAGTTCTACTTTTAATAAATATTCTTAGCTTAGTAGCATGTAGTTACTAAACTTTTCTTAAATATAAATTCATACTTTTATAAAAATTATATATAAAGTTAATAAATATAGAGATATCTATCACATTAATTAATTCATAGCAATGGGATTAAGTGCTTTTTCTTGAATAGAGAAAGTTTTTCAAGAACTGAAGAAAAAAAATTTTACCATTTCACATGGAAACCCAGGACACTGCACTTACATGGGAGGGGGCAGAGAGGTACCCCCTGTGCATTTTAAAATAAAATACAATTGCATTAACCTATGCTAAAGGCATGCTTGAGCTCAGTTCAGGTGGCCTGCATGGCCATTCTTCAGTCCTCACTCGAAGAAGTTGAGTCCCGTTATTAGAACAGACTATACCCCATAATCAAAGTGCCATGTGAATGACCATTAAAAATCTCTACACTCACGTATGGCTAAAGCTCAGATGACCAAGGACCTCAAGGATTTTAATCAAGTTTCTGTTCAACATTTTGGATCTGTCTTCTTTCTGTCCAGATCTTTGTCCTGACCTTTTACAGAAGGCTATCTCATTTCCATACGTGAAAATCCCTTGTACTTGGAGAAAAACAAATTGTATGTCTAGTTACCATCACTCTAACACAAATAAAGAAATATTTGACCATGTATAAAAAATTGCAACCAGTGAGGAGAGTTGGTAAAAGGGGTGGGAAATGACTGGTCAACAAATGGCTATCGTTAAGTAGGAGAAATAATTTCTGATGTTCTATTTCACAAAAAGGTCACTCTAAATAGTGATAATATACTATGTATTACAAAAGGGTAGAAGAAAAGATTTAGAATGTTTTCATCACACAAGTGACAAATGTTTGAAGAAACAGATATGCTTTCCTTGATTTGAACACTATGCATGCTATACATGTATGGAAACTTGACATGGTACCCACAAATATTTTAAAATTTTATGTGCAAATAAAAAATAAAAATAATTAACTAAAAAATGACAAAAGAATAAAACTAGCATTCTTAATAAGGTTTATCACAAACATAAATTCTAAATATTCTGTAAAATTGAACATAAAATAGGAAAAAAAACTGATCAGAAGAAATTTTTTGGGTGTGTGGTCTGGAAAAAAGAAAAAGCTAGGACCAGAGTTTTAGCTCAGCAGCATAAGTGCCTGCCTCGCGAGTGGGAGGTCATAAGTTTGATCCCAGTTACCAAAAAAAGAAAGAAAGAAAGAAAGAAAGCCAAACCAAAAAAAAGCTTTTTTTTTAAGTGTAGGAACTAAATTCTAGAGCTAGAAAAATTAAAACTACTTGTAGGAAGAAAAATTCCATTTGAAACAGTAAAGATATGCATCTAGGTATATAAAAACTTTGCCTCACTCTTCAAACCAGCAGGAAAATTTAATAAAGACAAAATTAAATCAAAAATGGAACACATGTCAAAAAGAGAGTGCCATATTAAATTCTCTAGAGAAAAAAAAAGCAAGGCAGAGAAAAGAGAAAATGCATGGGAAAGAATGAGAATTCTTCATATTCAATTAATAAGAAACAACATTCATTACATTGAAAATATCCTTTTACTGAGGATATTTCTAAGAGCTCCTTTCATATCCTGATTTCTTAGACTATAGATAAAGGGATTTATCATGGGTGTTACCAGAGTGTACAACACAGCCACAATGACTTCATTGTCATTAGTGTTATTGGATGAGGGGAAAAAGTAGACCCCAATAATTGCTCCATAGAACAGAGTAACCACAGAGAGATGAGAACCACATGTGGAAAAGGCTTTGCAGATTCGCTTGACTGAAGGAGCTCTCAGGATAGTGGCTCCAATGTGGCCATAAGAGACCAGAATGCATATAAATGGAAGGGTTATGACTACCACTCCTACGGTGAGGATTACCAACTCATTGATGGTGGTGTCTGAGCTGGAGAGTTTAAGCAATGCAGAGAGGTCACAGAAGAAATGTGGCAGAGTGTTGTCACCACAGAAAGAGAGATGGGATAGGAGAAGGGTGTGCACCAGGGCACTAGTAGAGGACAAGACCCAGGACACAATTACTAGCAGAAAACAGAGGTTCTGACTCATGATTGTGGCATAGTGCAGAGGATGGCAGATAGCCACATATCTGTCATAGGCCATTGAGGTGAGAAGAAAACTGTCAAGATCACCAAACAATAAGAAAAAATATACCTGAGAAATGCACCCAGCATATGAGATGGATTGACTCTGTGTCAGCATATTCATGAGCATCTTTGGAGCTGTGACTGATGAGAAAGAGATGTCAGTGAGAGCCAGGTGGCTGAGGAAGAAGTACATGGGGGTGTGGAGGCGGGAGTCCAGCCTGATGAGCAGGATGATGAGCAGGTTCCCCAGCACTGTGGTCAGGTACATGACCAGGAACAGGGTGTAGTACTGGTCTTGCTCTTCCAGATGGATGGGGAGCCCCAGGAGAAGAAATTCAGAACCACAGCTGTGGTTATTCCTCTTCATTCTCTACTTCTACTATCTTGATGAAAGTTAAGAAAAAGTTGGACATGTGTAAGAGAAGTCACTGTGACTACTGAATGATAAACATATATGTCTTTGAACTAGTTATTGTGTGCTGTTTCAGTTGGCTCTCTCAAGAAGTTTTACTCACGAATCAGTCAGTGATATTTTGGACAAAAGATTCACCGAATCCTTCTCTCTTTTTGAGAAACCATGAAACATCTGAATGATTATCAGATCAAGCCAAGTTTGTACCTGAGAAACGTAGAGGTTCATGATGGAAATCTGAGACTGAGTCTGTGCAAGGTCAGGTCAGTAACCAACTAACAGAAAATGCAACAGATGGTCTTGATGGTTTGTTGACCTCTCTTAACCTTCTCCATGGCTCTGAAACAGAACTGGCTAACACTTCATTTCCAGGACTTTGCTCAGTGTAAGAGAATCCAATGAGATGTGTTGGATCTCAAAGATGTCAAGAACTGGACACTTGGTGGAAATACAAATAGTAGGTCAAAGTGAAGGCATCAAGGGCATGAGTCTATGTCAACAACATAGCATACCTAATAACACACTGTGTATACCTCCATCAGCTCTTCCTTCAAGAAAATCATTTTCAGTCTTCCATCATGTTTTAAAGCAATGTTCGTGGAATGTGGAGGTGACTGATTTTCTTCCCAATTCCCTTTGTATACTCCCTCAATTAAAACAAAATTTTCTTATCCAGATCCTTAGAACAGTAGGAAACATCTGAGTTTTTCTCAAATCCTGGACCCTGCTGAAGAAGTTTATGAGGCTAACATAAACAAATAACTTTTGCTACTTTAGATTCCTAGCCCAGATTTTATGTCAATGATTATGTCAATGATTCTAACTGACATTTTTGTCATATTCTTAATATTGCTTTCTATCATTTATCCTTCTGGTTTTTTAGTTTTTTGATGTGAGCAGCCACCTATGAAATTCTCTCTATTAAAAAATAAAATCATTATCCTATATACAGATTAGTTAAATTTGAATGTCTCTTCTAGAGCTGTGCGAGTGTTTTATTATTTAACCACAATTCATTTTTAAAAGTTAACTAAAGTTTATTTAAAGTCCCAATATTCCCATTTTGATCAAAATTATTTCTCAAATTCCTACATTTTTCAGACTACTACATTAAAAATCCTGTTAATGTAATTTCATTTCTCAAGATGGATTTTATACTCTTTTTTGTTATTTAATATCATGTTCATAATAATCTGGTTACATAAGGAAAATAGCAATTAGAAGCCTATAGGGCATGTAGGTTTTTTCTAATATGGTTCTTATGTCATTTTACACACCCAATTATAAACACACACATTTCAACAATTCTTAGAGGGGAATTTGAAGGAGTATAAATTCACAGATTTGATAGAATATCAAATTACAAGATGCCAAGGTGATGAGAAAGCCTATTTTCATGAAATATTTAAAAGAAATTCTTAATAGAAGAGCATGTGTTATATATGAAGATTATAAAAATATGCACTGTATTGAAGTGTTTGGAGAGGCCAGAACTAGGACATTTGAGGGATAGGGACAATTTCAGATCATGTCCAGCTTGGATACATGGGATTACAGAGCAATCAAGGAGTCTGTGTATATGAGGTTTTTTCTACTATTGTAGAAAGTTTCAATCTATTCATAAAGCAATAGTAGACTCAAGAAAAGGATGAAGAGGGTGCTAACAATTTTGAAGGGTTCACTAGCTACTAGGCAGAGATCAGATTGTAGAAAAGCTAGATTATGAGCGGGATGCTAGTCAGCTACCATACAAATCTAGATACACAATAATGCCAGTTTTTTCTTAAATCTGGTTTGTGGCAACAGACATTCCAAATAAAATTTAGAACAAGACCTAACACACCTAATGGAGATTAAACATAAGGAAAAGAAGGTATCTTTTTCTACCTCTTCTCAAAAATTAGTAAAGGTTCAATTTGAATTAAATTATTCTTCATAGATGTTTTATTTTGCCCTATTGTCTTAAAGTTTGGTAGATAGTTCAAGATAAATTATTACCTATGGGGCTGTCTGACATACTATGGTGTAGGAAAGGATAAGACCCAAACATCAGTAGCACAACACACACACACACACACACACACACACACACACACAAACACGAAGAAACACAGAAATCATACCACTGAACGTAAACGTTAACCTGCTGGGACATGGCCCCTTAGATGATGAGCATGTATACCTTCTGCTACAAAACAGAATGCACGCAAATAGATGGTGTCTTTAAGCAGCTCAAAGTACCATGTGACACAGAAGCTATCAGTTCAGAAGAAGCAAGGCAGATATGTGGCTACACATTTGTTTATAGCTCCTGAGAAATCAGTGTGATGTCTAACCTAACAAAACATGGAGGAGACCCGAGGGCAAACCCTTGTCTCTAGCTCCAACTTAGAGATGAACTTGATATAATTGCTTCTTTGACTGGTTCCCTTGGGAAATTAGCTTCTTGGTGAAGTAGACACAAGATAACAACAACAAAATTGAAAATTATGGAGATCAGAATAACAGGAATTTCAGAGTAAATAATTTCAAATGAATTAATCACCATATTTAATTTAAAGATGGTCAACCTCAGTCAAGCAGGGAAAGAAGTAAAATCTCAATAAAGCACCATTGTATATCAGGAGATTGGAAAATTTATTCTTACACTGACTGCTCTCTCTTTCTCTCTCTCCTCTTTTCTTTCTTTCTTTTCCTCCTCTTTCACCTCCTCCTTTTTCCTATTCCTCCTCTGCCTCCTCATTCTTCTCCTTCTTGCTTTTATTCTTGTTTGTCCTTTCTCTCTCTCTCTCTCTCTCTCTCTCTCTCTCTCTCTCTCTCTCTTTTTCCCTGATATAACAAGAAGAAGGAAGCTGTGCTGAACACAGGCAAGAAGAGAGAGCCCTCGATAAGAAACCAAATCAGTTGGAACATTCATCATAAATATAAATACCTATCTTAGAGATTAATATATAGAAACAAACTTTAGTACAAAAATCAATCATAAACAAAATTCGGTTTAATATTTTCCTATTGAAAAGAGATAAGAGGTAGTGAGTATGTGGTAAAGAGTAGATTCAAGCAATGCTTTCAAAAATTTGCTAATAGAATTTTAACATGCGTAGACAGAAATTAGTATGCATGAATTTTTTTTTATTTTAAGACGATAAAACCAAGGAAACTAAAACAGAACAAAACCAATTAAAATAAACTAGTATAAGTGATACAGGACTTCAAAACCTTATGAAATCAGCAATAGTTACGATTAATGTCTTGTCTTCAAAATAGTAAAAATCAAACAGAATAGAGTACAAACAATAAAAACAATAAATGCAATGCAGGAGTTCAAAATAAGCTAATAGTAAATCCAAAATGGATTACTAAATCCAAAATGGATTTACCATAATATGTCTTGCTATTTTTTAAATAGCTGCTCATGCTGTCAGATTTAACACAATCAAACAAAACAAAAGAGAATAAAACACAATCCAAGAAGGCAATGAAGTTTCCAAGAGGGGATCACTTGCTGGTGAGGCCTGGTTCTCTACCCCTACAGTCTGCAAATGGTGCTGACTCACAGAGAGGCTTGCATTTGGCTGTCCCTTCAGCGGCCCAATGAAATTTGTTAGGTTTTGTTGTTGCTGTTGTTGTTGTTGTTTTGGTGGTACTGGGGATCAAACTCATAACCTCACACTTGCCAGGCAGGTGTTTATGCCACTAAGCTAATCCCTGAACCCTACATGAAACGCTTAAGTTGAATTGTAACAAAAGAAACAAAGCTATGTAACAATTAATGAGATAAACAAACCATCCTCCATACCACCTCTCCTAGTCACTTTCTATACCTATAAACCTTATTTTAGTCTATTACCATAATTATTCTTCACCTAATGAAGATGAATGAGAATTAAAGTCTGTATTATTTTCATTTTTAGAATTATGCTGTATAATTAAACATGCCCAAACTATTGAACCACCAAGTCAATTTTGGCAAATACATGTCAATGTAAAAGCATTAACATTACTCCAGGAGCATCCCTAATGCCCATTCTGAGTCAACAGCACCCAGAAGCAGACACTGATCTTTTGAGGAGGATGTTGGTTTTTTAAAAAAACAATTTTTATTAATACATACTTATAGTATATAGTGTTTATATTCATCTTAGGGAATAGGCACATATATGCTTAACAAATCCTGATTTTCTTTATTTCACTATCTCTCCACTACCTCCACTGTTCCTCTGTCTCTGGACTCACTTCATTCTTTTTCACTTTTTTAATCTATGTTTTACTCTTGCAATGGCAAGCAGAAAGCCCAAAGTGACACTCGGGATTCACAGGCAGATTTATTTATGTTGATGGGCACTGATGGGGATCATTCTCGAATATCAGGCCCTGATTTCTGGTGCGCTAGGGTTTATGTGGGATAAGCAAGCAGGAAGTACAGAGGCAGAATGGCTTGTCAGTTGAGAATTGGTTCTTACAATATGCATCATAGTGACCAGCTATATGTTACAGTGAACAGCCGTTTCTAAGAAACGAAAATAACAGGAACTGTAACCAGAACTATTACCTGGGCAACTAACAAAATGAAGATCATTGGCTGGGGGTGGGAGAATCAAGAGCTACACTCTCACAATATATTACTGTGGCTCCTAAGGTGGGACTAGCCCAGCACTGGAGCTAGAACTTGCTTTAGAGATAGCTCTAGCTTCACAGCTAGTTTTAAACCTGGTGCTGGGGCCAGGGCTACTGTAGTGCTTGCTTCAATTTGAATCTATAGCAAAGCTGGAAATACTAGAACTAAGTATCAATAGGAAGCTCGTAGTGTAGCTGAGCTGGAGATGGCCTCATCTCCAGAACTGATGCTAGCTCTGGTGCTTATTGGGAAGCTGACATTGGTTTTACCTCTGAGCTGGTTGTAAGTCTGGGACTGGGTCATTGCATTGCATTTTGGAGAACTCTGTCAACAATTC